TAGTACTATAAGGTCTGCTTTTCAAGTGTAACACGTGTTTCCACATCTTCTAAGGTTAAGGTTATGCCAATGATTCGTTTGTTGTCGCAGGTATTTTTGACAACTTCTAGCACAAACTGCTCCAGTGTGTTCTTTTAAACTTTCATCACTCGATGTGTTTGCTTATCACGTGACCATAAAACTACTCGCTCTGATCTTGACCCAAAGCTGCTCTAGATGCAATTAGAGAACGTACTAATTGTGAAAAAGTCGTAGTAACTTGTGAATTATTAATTGTACAGTTAATGTTGTGCAGTTATGGAGCTGGAAAACTGATATGCTGCGGACTGCAGTGGTGTCTAGAGCAAACAATGCATGTTCGAGTTTGTTACTACATAAAAGACGAGATGTATATGAAAAAACGTATAATGAATTTTGTAGTGTTCCAAACCTACAACCAATTACATAGAGCCTGTCTTTGTGGCATATTTTTCAGAGATTGCTCAAAGAAGTTTAATAGCGAGCCTTTGGCAAAAATTATCCGTTGAAATCAACTCTTCGCGTGAAAAAATAATGATGTTGGGAACTTCAACAAACTGATAATTTATATTAAAAGACAAACTTAAGGATATGTCCAAAAAAATCTAAAAATTCAGGAAAGGTATAAGAGCAACAGTTCATTGTTGAAGCTCCCAATAATTTGTTCTTAATGACTACGGTAAGCAAAGGGTCTAAATTTAAATTTGTAATAGCAATCCACTTTATAGGTCGCCCTAATTTTTGTATGAACTTTTGGAATTACAAACCAGTAATGTTGAAGACCTAAAATCAAAATTTCTAACACTATCCCAAGATCAAAAACAAAAACAAAGGAGAAAAGAAGTTTTACGATTGTGGATAATATTCAAAGTACATTCTTAAAATTAATCAGGCAATATATAACATGAGACCACAGGATACAAAACACACGATTCTTTGTACATTATAGAAACAATAAATGCACTACAAACCCTGTGAGCATCAACACATTTCTCAAATACCATGTACAGTTACATAATTTCTAAAACTGGATCAACCACAGGTCTATACAGGACATTGCTTCCGCAGATCGTCTGCTTCAATGTTGTCAGATTTTGCAGCAATAAAGAGACGTAACTCAACAGGGTTGTGGAGGCATCCATTGTATAATGTTAAAGTCATTGTTTTTGTGTTATTTCAATGCGTACATATGGTTGCCTATATTAAAACATCATTAAAACGTCAAAAATCACAAAAAGAGTTACGTAATTATTATTATTATTATTATTGGTTATGTTGGTCAACAGGTGTGAACCCAATTACAGACCAACAATAAAATTGCAAACATAATCAACAGCTAATTAATTACTGCTTTACTCAGATAAGAATAGTTAAGCAATTCAAACGCAGGTATAATATTAAATTTATCTATTGTATGCTGAAAAACAAAGGAACAGGTAGAAAGAGAAATGAGAGAGCAGGAAAGAGGAGAAATATTATCATTTTTATCTAAATATATCAAAGGAATTCTGAAGTAGGTTATATTGATTACACATCTCATAAATAGGAGAGTATTTTTCTATATTAAGACGAGGTGTTCGCAGATAAAAACAGGGGTGAGAACGAGCAGACGATCTAGGAACGAAGAACGATAATTTACTGAGAAGATCAGAACAGTCAATATCAAAATTTATTAACTTTTTAAGAAAGATTAACAAAGCCTTTATTCGTCTTGTATTCAGATCCTCCAACTCAAATCTTGAAAGAAGTGCCGAATGAGGTGATCCTCTGGCTGGGTAAACACCATCCTCCCTATATGCCAAGAAAACGACGCTGAACTTTTTCCACTGCCTGGATATGATATTGTGTAAACGGTGACCATACTACACTAGCATATTCCAGCTTCGATCGAACATAAGCAAAATATAAAACTCGTATGCAACCAATGTCCTTAAAATTCCTGCTGCATCTAATAATAAAGCCTAGTGACTTAAGGGCTTTTGAACACATGTTGCTAATATGATTCTCAAATGTCAATTTGGAATTAAAGAAGACTCCTAAATCATAATGTGTCTCCACTCTGGTTATAAGCGAATTGCTTAAGCTATAATTAAACATTATTTGCATGCTTTTATTAGTGATGGACAAGATTTTGCATTTACTGTAATTTACAGGAAGGAAATGGGAAGAACTATAGCTTAGAAAAATATCAAGATCATTCTGCAAAATAATACAATCTTCAACTAATGTAATTTGTCTGTAAATTTTTAAGTCATCAGCATAAATTAAGACATTTGACTTAATGTTCTTAACGATATCATTGATGTATATGACAAACAACAGAAAAACGTAATGAAAAAGAGTGTATTAATGGCGTCCATTATTGCATTTAAAGCATCCTTTTTTATACATAATCATTAATATAGATATTAATAAGCGAAAAAAATTTTTTGCTTGTATTGTGAAGTCAATTTTGCAAGACGTATTATAAGAAATCATGCAGAGAAGTAGAGGTAGAAGATATAACGGGTGTTCAATTGAAAAATCAGTCAAAGTAGACGTTGGAATATCATTTGACACAAACGGCATGCTTATTCTTATAACATATAGCATATAACAGGTTATATTTCTGCCAAATGGATGTCATGAGAACAGACATGCCGTTTATGAAAAATGAAAGTCCAAGGCCTTGTCTAAGTGATTGTTCAACTGAACACCCGTTACTTTCAAAATAAGTTAGAAATAAAGAAAGAAAAGAATTAATAGCAGTTTTAAGAAAAATGGTAACTTCCTGGTCAACTCAAATACATGCAAAAAAACAAATATTCCTACTAGTGCTAAGTACTTGTCATGTACATTTTGCTTAGGATATTATGTCTCCAAGCAACTTTAACGTCATCGGAAAATTTAACCAAAATCACTACTCGTTATTAGGTTATTACGCTACAAGAAACCTTTACAAATCGCCCATATTTCCTCTGAACATAGATACATCTTTAATAAAGCAATGCTTTGAAGGGTAAGGATATGTATCGCAATATTGACGCTTCGGAAGTCGAAGCTACTTTGAAAACAATGATTCGACTCTTATTATTAGAATCCAATTGGAAATTTGATATTTATAGTCAAGCTGCGGATGATTTAAATGTTAAAAAATAAAATAAAATTACTGGTACCACTTGCACACGATTTAAAACTGTTAAAGGAGCAGTTGATTAAAGTAGCGAATTCCGCAAAATAAACACTAGAAAGAAATAGTAATGACGGAGTAACGTGTTTAGACCTATTGGAAACAGTATTTTGTAGAGTCCTTTTACTCAACAGAAGAAGGCCGGGTGAATTGCAGAGATTGCCATTACATCTTTATGGAAACAATTTCAAGCATGATCAGAATTATGAAGAATTCAGCGAGGCCATAAACACATTCAGATTTGATTAAATAATTTAAAAGGATTGTTATTTAGTTCTACAACACCAACAGCCCTAACAAACAATAAAATAAAATTTGGTAAACAACAAACACTTGTGCCTTGGACGCCTGAACAGAAGGCAATGGTTACTTTCTACTTTAACGCACATACAAGAAAAAATCCAGTGATAATGCATTTGCTTTAATAATTGATGAGTCCACTGATGTTTCAGTCAGAAAATATATGTGCTTTTCCACAGTTTCAATTAGTTCGCTGCATTTGCCATTCGTTAAACAATGCAAGTGATAAGGCAGCTGAAGAATTACCTGAAAACATTGTGTTCATGAGGCGAGAAATTTCTAATTTTTGTAGTCATAGTCCATTACGTCGATGCAAGTAACAAAATATTTTTAAATTGATAATTGCATACCACAACAGCATTAGACGGCTCCACTTAACCTCTGAGTGCAGCCATCTACTGCTGTTTTTAATACATAAATTGCCAGAAACTTCATAAGTGGTGGTGAAACAGTCTTGCCAAAATTACATGGATAGTGCTTTTGTAATGGAAAAAGATTTGGCTAGGTACAATTAATTTGTCTCATCCATCCTACTTTAAAGATTTTATTATTATTATTATTATTATAAGTTAACAAAAAATTGGGCAAGAAAAATTAATTTCTATGAGCCCAACGTTATAATAGTCTATTATCGGGTGATATGTATAAAATAGGTAGACAGATTTTTGTTCAACATTGAAAAAGAATTGTGTCGATTTCTTTCTTAAAAGATGACAGAGTCTGTGCAGTGACAGCAGAAGAAGGTAAACCGTTCCATGCGTCGAAAGATCGATTTGCAAAAAAGTTTTGGCGGCATTTTATCTTAACACTTTGCTTAGCTAGTTTAAACGCATGACCTCGATACTCACAAAATACCACCAGCAAAAAATTATAAAATCGGAATCAAAATGTTGCTGCTATTTGTCTCTACATAATTTAAAATCATCCAACTCTAGAATTTATTGAGCATAAATCTTTACAATCCGAGCATTCATACATGGAATGTGACTCAATGCATTTGGTAGCAAAAAAAAGATCTACTTATTTATCTTATGAACGACTGGAAAGAAATTTTTAAAGCGGCTAGGACCAAAAATAAATCGAAAAAGTCTCTATACGAAGTTTTAAAATTAAAATACAATGATTTTTATGATCTTCATTATTTATCAATCAATTTAATTAAAAAAAAAAACACCAATACGGAAATGTAGTCAACTGATTGAAGATCAAATGTTTAATCAAAGTACGAAAAATCTTCTCCAGACTTTATTGTCTAATGTGTGAGCCACAAAATAAAAGAAAGGAAAAAGCGTTTACAGCTGGATTTAAGTTACAAGTAAGTAAATATCTAAACAGATGATTAGGTTTTTCACATCTACTTGTCAAATGTGGCAATTAATTCGAAGTAAAATACCTAATGTAATTACCTACCTAACTAGCTCTCGATGCGACCGAGTCGAGTGAGCGCCGTGCGCATTCTGCAGAATCACATAATGATGCGCAAAACTTTATTAATACAGAGTTTATAATAAAAATGGCATATCTCTGTGACATATTTAACAAATTAAATGATCTTAATAAGTCTTTGCAGAGAAACAATACTCACATCCTACAACTGGCAGGTAAACTACTAGGTTTCAGAAGAAGTTGCTCTTATGGAAGAGAAAATTAGAAGATCAAGTAATTGACTGTTTCCCTGCTTTACAAGGTATTCTACAACAAAAATCGTCAGAAATCCTCGATCCGTCTTTAAAAATAATATAAACACAGCAATTGCTATCATTAAGCGAACGCTTTGAAAAATATTTTCCCGATAATCTAGAGCAATATGACTGGGTTAGAAACCCTTTCAGTCGCGCACATCATCCACACTTTCAACAGAGGAAGAAGAACAAGTAATAGAATTGTCCTGTGATTCCAGTCTAAAGCTTCAATACGACAAGGACAAACTGTTTGAATTTTGGAGCTCAGTTTCTCATGAATATCGTGTCATTAGTACTGCAGCATTAAAGGTTTTATTACCATTTGCGACTTCGAACTTGTGCGAAACAGGCTTTTCTGCACTTGCAGTAATAAAGGACAAGTACAGGTTAAAAATAGACGTGGAAAAAGAAATGAGAGTGGCAATTTCCAAACTGGAACCCCGGCTTCAGAAGCTAACGGATGACAACAAAAAATCTGGACAAAAATAAAATGTTTTCAAGTTGTACTAATTTGTGTAATGACGCCGCTTCATTACATGACCAAGTAGTCTATGATTGAAATAATGATGCTACGTTGTTTTTGTTTGACAATTGTCAATTTAGTTGTCCCAAAATGTCATCAAAAGAAAAGCTTCTCCGAGAGCGTATTGTACATTTTTATGAACGCCCTAAAATCATTGGCAAAATGTTTACTGCAGAACATTTTTTGCAAGAGGGCATATCAAGAAGTACAATTTATGACATTTTAAAACGTGGTATTATTGAAAGAAAGCAAGGATCCGGACGAAAGCCCACAATAATGACTCAGAAAAATTTGAAAAAACGGAAAACTCGGTTTAATAACAAGGATGGCGTTAGTCAGCGAGATGCTGCTAGAATATTTGGTTGTTCTCAGCAATATATCAGTAAGTCACTCAAAAAGGTCTAAGTTAAAGCCAGGAAAAAGCAAAAAGTCGCCAGCCTACACGGAGAGTCAAATTGCCAAACTCAAAAAAGACTGTCGTTATCTTATAAGAAATTTTGAAGACAAAAATTTCATTTTGGATGATGAAAGTTATTTTACGTGGCAAGCTTAGTAAATTAGCCTTTACGGGCGAGCCGGAATGTTTGCAGGGCGAGCGACGTAGGAGCGAGCTCTGTAATCCGGTGAGCCCCAGTAAAGGCTAGTTGCAAGCGAGCCGCGTACAACGTTTTACTTCCTCTTGCTGAAAATCCTGAAAATGAACAACTTTGGCATCTCTAGAAATTTTACTTGAAATTACAGTCATAGAAATTATAGTCATTTTTCGTAGTTTGCTCCGGTAACTATGGAAAATTGAATTGTTTGAAAATAACGGGACTGTCAATTTGTAAATTCGATTAATAATTTAAATGGTTTAATTTTGTTTCTGAGCTCTGTTAATAGTGGAATTCGATGAAGATGAAGAGTTTGAAGGTGATTTTAACGTTAGTATTAGCACAGTATTAGTGAGATTAAGAAAAAGGCCAACGCAGCGAATGTGTGTTTGATTCCGGTGCTGTCATGACAACGTTTTACAGGCATGGTGCCTGTAAAGTTGCCACGGTAACGCTTTACAGGCAGGGTGCGTGTAAAGGCTAATTTACCGAGTTAGTTCAGACGACTGTAAATGAACTTTAAGAGGAAGTAAATAACTATTACGTTAAGCAAGCCCCAAATGCCTGGCAACAGTTTTTATTACACAGACGACTCTTCTGTTACACCACCTGAAGTTAAGTTCAAAATGCGAAGCAAATTCGAGAAAAAAGTAATGATATATATTGTTGTTTCGAACAGGGGAGTTTCTGAGCCATTTTTCAAGGAAAGTGGTCTAGTCGTCAACCAAGAAGTTTACAAAAACCAGTGTTCAGCTAAAATTTTAGTTCCATTTATTAACAAATATCATTTAGATGATAATTACATCTTTTGGCGGGACAAAGCGTCTCACACTATGCAAAAAGTGTTACTGAGTTTCTCGAAAGCAAAAATATTCCATTTGTTCCGAAGAATGTTAACCCCACCAATCTTCCCCAGTGTAGACCCATTGAAGATTTTTTTGGGGAGCTGAGTTCTTTAGTCTATAAGGGTGATTGGAAAGCTAAAAACATTTCACAACTCAAGCGTAGAATTAGGAAATACTTGAAAGAAATGGATACAACTGGTGTTCAGACGGCTTGCGCGCACATTAAACAGAAGTTAGGCAGAGTAACGGATAATGGACCTTTTGTTAAAAACCATTGATTTTGTTATATTTTTCGCGTTGTCATAAATTAAGTGCCAACCTTATAAAACTGTTTTGAATAAATTATTTACTCTAAATTAAAATTTATCGACAATCCGGATTTTTAGTTGTCACCCGTTATGCTCAGAAAAGTAAGCACATCCTTCTCATTAGCCACCCAGTTAGATATACATATATATAAATATCACTTTTTATTTTTATGCTTATGTTTTGGTTTTGTTCTTATTTTTTAATAAAAATTTTAAATGTCCAAATAGTGTTTTTCTGATAACCTGTTACTAGGCCAGTACTGAAATTGATAAGTATTTTTGGGGGCTGGGTTGAGAAGCGTCGTAAAAAAATGGCAAAGTCCCAAGGGCGTCACAGTGCAAATCGGCCTGGGAATCCCTGTTCTAACCTATAACATTTCAAAGATGTGTCAACCAGAGACTTTAAATATGTACTTTATTTTCTGCATGGATATAATTATTTGCGAAGGTTCTTTACCTTGCCAAACCCCAGAACAATTCGAAGATGGGCATCTGGCATAAACGCCAAGGCAGGTTTCACAAATGAGACAGTGTCACAAATTGCGGAAGAAGTCAAACGTTTTAATCATAGAATCAATGGGACGTTAATATTTGATGAAGTTCGAATCAAAGAACAACTTGACTTCAATGGCAAAGAAGGTAAGACCTCTACATAGCAAAATTACATGACTTATATTATATTTTTTTAGTGATTGCTTTTTGAGATTTTGGCGAAGAGTTGATGTCAACAGAAGGTGACAATCGGTTGGCAAGAGATGCTTTGATTTTTTATTGTAAGGGACTGAATTCTTCAAAGAAATATCCAGTTGGTTATTGTTTAATTGATGGAATAAATGCAGAAGTAATAACTCTTTTCCTAATAGAGTATTTACAAAAACTCGAACAAACGGGAATAATTATAGCTGCCATTACTTGTGATGGTTGTTCGGCAAATCTGGGTGCATTTTCCAATTTTGGAATTCAAACAGATAAAACCGATATGTGCAGTTTTTCTTTTCATTATGAAGGAGAAAACAAATCAAACAAGTCGAATGGCAAAATAAGAGGCATTTTAGCTCCTGGACATATGCTGAAATTATTTAGAAATTTGCTGGCTCAAGTAGGAATAATTTATGATGGCGATGAGCTCCCAATTCAGTGGGAATATATAAGGCAGTTGAAGGAAGTTCAAAAACTACAAGGAATTCATTGCGCCAATAAATTAAGGGATCGCCATATAAATTTCGAAAATTTGAAAATGAAGGTTTGTGTGGCAACGCAGACATTTAACAATTCTGTTGCAAATGCCTTGTTATTTTTTCGAGACATCCTAAAGGACAACAGATTTTAAAATGTTGGAGCAACAGTAAAATTTATAAAGATTATAGATGAAACATTTGATTTGTTAAATTAATGATGCTAATTTAATAAGAAGCAAATTACATGAAGCCATTGCATATTTTAAAACTCTCCGGCTTCCAGATGGAAAATTAATTTCGCAGAGTCGACGCAAAGTTCCAGTTGTTGGTTTCATTTTGGATTGTTACAGTGTGCTGTCAATGGCTGAAGAACTGGTTTGAGTCGAAGACGCTCCATTGAAATACTTGTTGTGCAGAAACTTGAGCCAAGATCACATTGAGAATTTTTTTAGTTGTATTAGAAAACGCTCTGGTAAGTTTTAAACAGTTTAATAAACATGTGTGTGTTTATATTAATCTTTTGTATTCAATTATATAAAGCAACAAGGAAGGACAACAACGTGAAAATGGAATTTCATGGTAATTTTTTAATTTCGGTAATAAATATATATAGCATTAAATGCATGGGTGATATTTGGTTACGTGAAAGTACAATTTCATTATAATTTTTTAATGTAGGTAATAAATATACATAGCATTAAATGCATGGGTGATATTTCGTTGCTGGTTGTCAACTATCTATTTTCTTATGGTTTTTATGTGTTGTTTAAGCTAAAATGTGTGTTAAAAGTGTGCAAAGGAATTGGACACGTGAAGTTCATTGTTTTTTAACTACTTTGTGCTTTCGCTTGATTTTATATCTTATTCTTTATTCATTAAATTTACAGTACATTATGTTTTAGGTAACAACCATAATCCAACACCTTTGGAATTCAGAAGTGCATACAGAAAATGCATACTGGCCAAAGTAAGCCCAAATGTTCTAGGGAATTGAGCCAAATGAGTTGGACGACGTTTCAGCAAGAAGTTTTAATTCAAACGGAAAACGTTGGATTTACATCTGAGAATTCATCACTTAATGAGTACTCTACACATGTTGTAGATTATATAGCAAGGTTTTGTGCTAAACAAATTCAAGTCAATTTAGATTGCACAGAGTGTATAGATTTGCTTATTGATAATGATATGCCACGTAAAGCGGGGTTAATATTAATTAAAGATGTAAATAATGCTTTAGCTGTACTGTCTGAGTTTTTAAAAACTATTTGTAGACATGCAGAAAACGTAATTAAAGAAACCTTCGAATTGGTCAATGCAAAAAAAAAAAAATTAACAAAATTATTCACATTAACTTTGAGAAATATAGGCTTACATTTCTTTCATAAATTTGACCATTTTTTTGACGCGACGGAAATAGATAAAAACATGAGTGAGTCACATTTTAATAAATTAATGACATTAATTTTAAGCAGATATTTAAATTTGCGAATGAGGCATTTATGTGCATTAAAAACAGAAGTGATTAGAGGAGAAAATGTTCGACAAAAATATAATAAATTAATTTTGTTCAAAAGCCAATAATAAATATAATAAATATATGTTTTTACTTTATATTGTGTATTACTATATATAATTTATTTTTATTTTAAAAACTCACCACCTGTTGAATCAAGTTGGTATAACAAAAAAAAACCTATGTAGTGTTATTCCATACTTCATTGGCACGCCTGTTTTTTGAAAGTTTCTATAAGAGCCCGTCATTCAAAAATTTCTTAATTTTTGAAAGACCAAAAAATGCATCGCAAAACGCGAAATCTTTTAAGTGCTAAATTGAAAATGGTACTCATTAATTGCTACCACTTAATTTTGACATTGGAGCCAGCCATAACTGGAAGAAAAATGCATGAACACTTAAAGACAGTCTTTTCGGTACTAAAATATGCTCAGTACGTAATATTTATCAATATTTTAAACTAGGTTTCTGAGTCCACAGTAAGAACTATTTTGAAGTGCCATACAACGGGCAAACCAATTGTCTCATC